TGTGTGTGGTTGTACATTTTGTTTTTGGTGTTTGGCTTAGTGTTATGTTAGAATCATTATACTCTTATACCTTTTGTTCTTTACTATTTTGAATTGTTTTTAGCTTCATGAAATTTTGTTGTATGCATTTGTCATTTTTATTTAATCTATTAATTTTTAAAATGTGTATAGGTAGTATTTATAAAGTTTTAGCTTTAGTTTTGGATCTGTTTTTAGTTGTTTTAATACTACAATAGATTGCTTCTGTTGTCCTCATTTGTAAGTCGCTTTGGATAAAAGCATCTGATAAATGACTAAATAAATAAAAGATCACGCCTTCGTCGACAGCTTGTAAATCATTTATCAGATAAGGTAAGAACAATCACCTATTTAGCTAGCACATTTTACCTCAGAATAAAGTCATGTCTGTGAACACCACGACAGAGGCTCATTTGGAGCAATGAAATAAAGTAATTTATTGTTATAAATAAATGCATAAAAATACAAACAAAAGACATGAATCAATGAATAAACTTGAATGAATACATAATACACAATTGGATAAAAAGAGAGAGAGAGAGAGAGGGAGAGAATGAATTCATGCAATATATACATAGCCTAAATAAATATTATAGATACAATGTATACATAAATAATATAGAATACATATTCTAAAAAATATATATATATATATACACACACACACATTTACAGACTGTGAGGCCTACAACCTACTGCCGCCTGAATGCTGCTGTGCCAATTCTTCGATTGTATTTGGAAGATGGATCTGACCTCCGTCCAAACCTCCAGCTTTCACAACAGTCCATCACGTCCCTCATCGCTGCTTTGAAGTCAGATTCTGACCGTGGCTGGGAGAATGATGTTGAGATGCTGGTGTTTCTCTACTGGCTGGCCCACGCAGCATCGTACAGGCTGCTGTCACTGGGCTTCGACATCCCAAAGTCCTCGGTGCAGGGCAGTCATCAGTATTTTGAGGAGGCTGATCGCTTTCCCGACCCCGGGTGACCTGGAGGCAGTGGGGGCAGGTTTTGCCCAGCTGGCTGGGTCTCCAGTTGTCCACATGGTAGCTGGTGCAATAGACGGATGCCACATCCGGATCAAGCCACCAGCAAGTGATGCCCCATGATATTGTAATAGGAAGCTGTTCCACGCTGTTCAGCTGCAGGCCATCACTGACCACAAGGGGAAGTTCCTCCATATCTCTGTTGGATATCCCGGGTCTGAAAAGCACAATATCAAGACAGTCGATTACATTCATTAGATTACTGCATTATTATGACATGGAAAAACATTAGCAAGATCAAATCATGAACTAATACAAATTTGGGGGTGAACTAATTAAAAACAAAATCTTACTGTATATTTTTGTTTTAGGTTCTCCCGCTTTCTTTTGACTTGAGCGCAGAAATGTTGTCCTCAAGTCCCTGCTCTGTCACAAAAGCTGTCACAATAAATGCACAGAAATCAAGCATAAAAAGGCAGTAAGACCTCTGCTTGAAGTGTTAGTATTTACTAAGTTCTAAGTAACTTGTTTACTTGCTCAAAACCTCTGATGGCAGCATTAGGCTTTCCAGTGAGGGCTTCATCAGCCACTCTCCACTGAATGAGCGGAGTGTGTTCAGCAGTCCCTGTAATGTCGAAGCAGTAACCACTAGTCATTATCAAACCATTAATGCTACAGTGACAAGCTGTGACATTTATTAACAGTAGCTTAGTATGTAGCTAACTAAATATCATCTAAATATTAGTAAAAGAGGGGAAAATGTTTTAAAGTCCGTGGAATTTTCTAATCTCATTAAACTTCTTAACAATGAAGGTCTCCGTTAAAGAAGCAGTTAACAAGCTGATGTACAACAGCATCGACACTAGCTCAATCTACAATGATTAAACATCTTTTTACAGCTGATTCACAAAATCATCTCATCGATTTACAATGTTCAAACTTTCATTAAGTCAGCCGTTCACTTAGATCATGTTAAACAAGTGCAATTTAAGCACAATGAACAAGGTTTTTCCCTGAGGTACTTACACTTGAAGAGAGCCGTGTCGCCGCTTCCGCCGTTCTCGAATATGGCGCCTCCTCTCGCGTGGCCTCATGGGACAGTAAAGTGTCCATCATATGCATGCTACGGAATTCGGGCGGAAGTAGTAGGTCATCCGGGTACTTCTCGCCTACTGTTTTTCAAATACTATGAATTCGGACATACTACTCGCCTCGCATACTGTTTTTCGCCTACTATATAGTATGGAAGTATGCGATTTCGGATGCAGCTTCTCACTCTCTGCTTGCTTGGCAGTTGCAAATTGCTCACAGGTGTGCTCATCAGAGTGCTGCAGAGAGTGCTGCTTCAAAAGAGCTAGTGATGTCCGGTTCGCGAACGAATCATTCGATTTAACTGGTTCTTCTTAGTGAACCGGTTGAACCAGCTCACCAAATCAGACTAAATCATTTGAAACGGTTCGCATCTCCAGTAAGCATTAATCCACAAATTACTTAAGTTATTCACTTTTTTAACATGGCTGACACTCCCTCTGAGTCGAAATAAACCAAAATCCCGGAGTAATGTATTTACTCAAACAGTACACTGACTGAACTGCTGTGAAGAGAGAACTGA